AATTGTAATGTGGGAAAGATTGAGAAGTTAGGTTTCCACAGCAGAACATGGGAATTCTGAGGAAGGCTTCCAAGAACTTGGAGATAGTCCCTCAATCAATCAGAAAGTGCCCCAAACACTGTGAAAAACCACTACTTCCTTAAGACAGAGCCCTAGAGGCTAGACTAGTTGCAACAGTTCCAGGTCAAGGACCGACAAAGGCTTTTCTCCACTGGCTTGCTTAATAGCTTATTGAATATTAACTGACACACCCCAAAGACAGAGACAGCTGCCATTTTTTAACATGGGACGCATGACTGGGAGGGGTTAACCTGACAAGGAGTAACATGGGACGGGAGGTTCAGGAAGAGTGTGACCCAAATGAACTGGTCCAATCCCAGCTCAAATGGGACGAGTATGGATTTTACCAACCATTTAAAAGCTGGCTCCCCTTCCTTGCGGTGTGCCCACTTCTCGCCAGAAGCGTAATAAAGGCTTTCCTTCACATATTCCTGTAGTAGATTTTTGTTTCAGATTTTTCTAACAGTAAAACAAGTACTGCAACCAAAATCAGCCAACAAACTTTCCATGCCTAAAACACTGATATGTTGGTTGGTTGGTTTTCAGAGTAGGAAAGTGAGGTTAGATAAAAAGTCATACAGGCCCTAAGGAACAGCACTCTAACCCGGAAGTCAGCCCATCAAAAGACAAGTGAGGCCTTGTGTGTATTCACACACAAAATGTCATTTTTCACAGTTGGAGGGTTGCTAGTGGGCTTCATTATGCTGTTAAGTCACATTGCTTAAGTACCAACATGTTTCCTTCAATTTGCTTTAATAAGCATTAGTTATGTGTCTACCCTACACAAAGGAGAATTTAAAGATGAAAAATCAACATAGTTTCTGCCTCCAAGGAGCTTGCCATCCAAGGGAGTAAAGGGAATATGACATATTCAGATAACTAAAATACAAGAAGTGCGGAATTGGAGGAGGGCAAAGGAAAGACTCAGACTAGGTTTTCTAGGTAAATTTCAGAAAGGGAGAGAACATATTCAGCTGCAGGGAGAAAGCTTCTGAAGGGAATACAATCCAGGCAAGAGATGGCTGGTCTACACAAAAAGCAGAGAAGCGGGAGACAGTAAAATAAAGGATTGGGCACTGGACCTGCAGTCAAATAGACCTGGGTTCAAGTACTCTTCAGACACCTATTAGCTATTTGACCCTAGGCCTCAGTTTCCTCATCTGTAAAATAAGAAGGTTGGACTCAATGACTTCTAAGATCCCTTCCAGTTTTTTAATCGATGATCCCATGCCAACCAAGGATAGAATCAGACTGCAGGCCAGGCTGGCTGGAACACAGAGAAAAAGGGGAGGGGAATAAGGTGAAATAAGGCTGGAAATGTAGGTTGAAGCTAGACTGGTGCAGCCTCCCAGACTAACAAGTCTGCATTTTATTAGTGGCCCCTGATTGCCCACAGGAAGGTTGTTTCTTTTTTTATTCACAGTGATACCTGGCCAACAGCAAAAAGGCATGGAACAGGTTTTTCCTGAAGTATGGTCTGTTCTCAGTGACCCCTTGTAGACAAGGCAGTGATTTGGATAATCCAAAGAGTGTGTGTGTGTGTGTGTGTGTGTGTGTGTGTGTGTGTGTGTGTGTGTGCGCGCGCACACGCGTGCGCAAGAATATGTATGTGAGAGTGTGTGTGTGAGTGAATGTGAGTGTGTGCACACACAACTGCAGATTCCCTTTTCTAAGTCTCTTTAAACTGGGGCAAACAGTAAAATGAGTTTGTTTATTCTTTGACTACACACCAACTTAAACCAGAAGGAAAGCAGCTCCCAGACATGCTGGGTAGCAGGAAGGGGCAGGCTAGTGATTAAAAACCTGCTGTACAATGCAAGGATCTAAGACAACTCCAAAATATTCATGATGGAAAATGCTGTCTACATCCAGAAAAAGAACTATGGAACCTGAATGCATTTCGAAGCATACTATTTGCCCCTTTTTTTGGTTTGTTTCTTCTTTCTCGTGGTTTCTCCCATTAGTTCTAATCCTTCTTTACAACATGACTAATGTGAAAATGTTTGATATGAATGTGTATATAGAGCCTGTATCAGATTGCACGCTGTCTTGGGGTAGGGGGAAATAGGGGGAGGAAATTTAGAACTCAAAATCTTACGGAAGTGAACGGTGAAAACTAAAAATAAATAAATTTTAAAAAATAAAACAAACCACAAAAAAAACCCTGCTATAAATAACCTACAGAGTTTAGTCTCTATATGAATACTTAGCATTTGGTGCATCATAGGTCAAACCAAAGCCTTTTGCAAGTCCTAAAGCCTAAGTAAGTCTAGTACAGTCAGAGGGGAAGCAATGTTTGCCAAACTCATATTCCACCCACCCCATCCCACAGTGGTCAGGGAAATCGAGGGGAAGAAGGAAGTTCCCAAATCAGAATCCAGTCATTCTGCGCTGACAGATCTGAGTCCAAGGATGCCTTATGAAGGCCACCATTGAGTCAAGGAGAACAGCAATGAGCAGGTACCAGAGAATCCAACAACTATATGTGATTATCCTATAACAGATAATTGTCAAGTGCTGCACCTGGGCTCAGAAAGAAATCAGCATTACGAGTATAGGATGAGGAAAGAAGACATGGCTGGACAACTGAGAAAAAGGACCTAGGAGTTTTACTGAAGTACAAACTCCAAGCTCACAGTGTCACTGCAAAAGCTAAAAAGTCAGTGGGATCTAAGCCTACATTCACAGAGGTTGTTTCCACAGCAAGGGAGGTGGTAGCTTTGCCTTATTCTGCCTTGATCAGATGCTATCTAGGGTATTGTGTTCAGTTCTGGATGCGACATTTTTAAAAGGCGATTGTCAAGACAGAACTGGTCCAGAGGTAGGCTACATGGAGGGTAAAGGAACAAAAATCAGTCTCTAAGAGCTGGGGATGTTGAGCCTTGAAAATAAAGTACTTTTTTGTTGGCAGGGGATGGATGTGATGAGAAGCATGACTCCAGTCTTCAAATACCTGAACATGGGAAAGAGTTATTAGACCTGTTTTGTAACTTCCTCCAAACCACAGAACCAGGGGGTGGGACTTAAAGGGAGGTAGGTTCCAATTCAATATAAGAAGTTTTAATACATACATCGCTTCTGAAGTAGCGAGTCCTCTACTCATTACTTGATGTAAGAAATAAAACTTCCTAACCATTAGAGATGTCCAAAAGCCTCAGAAATTAGCAAGTTCCCCTAAACTAAAAGTCTTCAAACAAAGGCCAGAATAGCCATTTGTCAGATATGTCGTAGAAGGTTTTCTTGTTGCACGGCGTGTTGGACAAGATTCTTTCTGGGGTCCTTTGCAGTTCTGAGATTCTGTGATCCTAGGAATGATGCTGCCTTTTACCCTCTCCCCTCCCCCAACCAACGTAAGCAAATCAGCAAAGCTTTGTAAAGAGAACTTGATATAGGCAGGAAGAGCAGAAATGGATTTGTGACATAAATGTAAAAACAAACACGCTCCAAGGACTGCGAAGGCCCCTTCTGACTCTGAAGTTCTATGGTCTCAAACAAGTGTGATATTGATACACCAGCTCTGCAAACTGGTAATCATGGATTAAGCTGAAGGTTAAAAAAAAAAATACATACATCTAGGCGGGGTCTTAGGTGGACTACAGTTTAAAAACAGTAGCTAATCCACACTAACCAGTCTGCCCTCCATTTAGCTGTTAGGAAGAAAAAAACGAATCAAGTCTACCTATTTCATTAAACTAGGACCACTGGCTACTGCCCTCAGGGGACTAGAGATAACCGATGGAAAAGATATGTATGATGCTGATGTTGGAATCTCTAGGGGCGTAGACTAGATCTGAAAGAGAGGAACCTCCAAGACACATGATGGTTCAACTAAACAAGTTCAATGACAAATATCAAACTCTGCGAGTGACCAGGAGAACAGCATTCAAAGACAAAGGAAAGATGTGAAGGGGAAACTCAAGAGATCATCTAATCTAACCCATTATTTTACAGAGAAGGAAACTGAGGCCCAGAGAGGTTGACTGACCTGCTCAGGATCACACAGCTAGTGTGTCTAAGGCAGCACTTGAAACCAAGTCACAGTGACTCCAAACCCAACGTTCTCTCTACTACATTATGCTCCTTCAAGTACAGAAGTCAACAGAAGAACAGGGGATAAGGTTCAAAGGTTGGAGGAAGCAAAGGTTCGCTCAGTCACAGAGAAGATGCCCTTTTTTTTCTGCAGCAGAATCAACCCTGTTGAGTTTTTTACTAAATTCTCAGGGGATATGGCAGTGGGATTTCTATAAACAAAGCATGTGACTTTTTTTTTAATCCTTCATGACTTTAGATCCAAATGGACCACTTGGGAATTTTAATCTCTTCTAATCACCTAAGGATCAACATGAGATTTTTCTCTCTAGCTGAAGGAAACCTGAATAGTTCGCAGAATATCAGAGTTGGAAGGGTGCCTTAGAGTATGGGACCATAACGTGAGAGCTGGAAGGGATCTGTTAGGACAGCTACTAAACAACCTCCTTATTTTACAGATGGGGAAACTGAAAGCCAAGAAAGGTCAAGAGACTGTCCATGACCACAATGTTAGTAAATAAAGTAGCAGAGCTGGGTTTTGAACCCAGGTCTTCTAACTCTAAATTCAGCTCTCTTTCCATTGTTCTATGGTGCCTTTAGATTTATCAAAAGGTAAGTCCAATACCTTCACCTTATGGATGGGTGAGCTGAGACCCAGAAGGGTCGAAATGACTTATGCCCAGAGTCCCATTGGAGCCTGGAGTCTAACCCAGGTCGGGGACTCCAGATCTAGTTTTCTTCCCACTGCCCAGAGGGGTTGGAGTTGGACCATGCTCAGTGACCTAAATCTGGGCAGGTCCAAAGTCCCAGGTGCATACTACACCTAGATTAAAAAGGCTGCCCTTCAGGGATGAGGCTACTTGTCACCCATTTGAGAAATTATGGGCCCCCGAGCCTCAACAATGGCTGAGTAAGTCTGGTTTTTTTTTAATCATAAACAACAATGCAGTAAAATTTCAAAATTGAGGGATAGGGGGAGAGGGAGAGGAAAAAGAGGGAGAGAAGGAAAGAGAGAGGGAAGGGGACAGAACAATGACCCAGATCAGTGACATTCTACTCTTTAAAATCCAGGCACACAAAAACTGACACAGACCCATGGACATTTTGGTTTGAAAACACATCATTGCTTACAAAAACAACCATCAATATTTTAAATGCAAGCAACACCCTGCTGCAAGCCAAAAAAAAAGGCACAAGTCTGTAAGACAGAATTAGGAAAATATTTACAAAACTGTTGTCAGAAATTGGTCTTCCGTGCTTGCCGAGGCCTTTCAAAAGTGCTTTTTTGCCTTTTAGGCCAGACACACATTAAAACACTTCTTCACGGCTTCCCTACAAAGAAAGCACAAGTAGAAATATAAGTATTCCAACACAGAAATGAATCTTCCATTTCCCATACTCACTAGAGCCTCTTTATTTCCCTTCAAGAAATGGAAGGCAATGTAAAAATAATTGTTTAAAAAGTACAAACTTAGGGAAACCAAGAAGCTTGTTAAGACGTGCCTTGTACTTTAAGGAGTAAGTAGTAATCCTACTATAAGCCCTAAGGAAAACAATCCTCATGGACTTTCTTCACTCCATGCTACCGAGAGAGCCTTCTCAGGAGACCGACAGTAGGTCCCTCTTCAGACCCATCATGGTCATTAGCTCACAGATTCTTTCTCGAGACACTAAACACAGCTTCATGCTTTACACAGCAATCATAATCCCTCTACTCGATGCAGCGCAAAGACTCCTAATTCCCTGATCTCCTTCCTTCTACGTGGCCCCAGTCTTTACTTCTATTAAAAATGCTGGCAGCAGGAGGACAGATAAGGGGTGGCATTTGTAGCTGAACAGGCTTCAGATTCAGTAGCATATGGCTTAGGGTTGGAAGAGGGCTCAGTTTATTTATTCCAACCTTTTCATTTGAAAGCCCTCCATGAATGTAGGCTATATCAAGCAATATGGTCACAGATAATTTATGAATTTAGAGATTTCTTTTTGTTTTTAAATCTTCCAGCCCCATTCCTACCATTAACAATTACATTTCACATATATACATTTATACATTTCATATATATATATATATATATATATATACACACACACATATAGGGAGATGGGTAGAGAATATATCCAACTTTTGGGTAACAGATCAGTAAACGTTAAACCAGAGTAAATTCAAATTCCTAGAGAATTATGCAAAGATAAAGAATTTGGCCAGGCTGATCACTATCAAATAGTGGGTATCTGCTTATTATTAGATACAGAAGCTGATTTCTTGTATTAAATAAGGTTTTTCCTTTTATGTAATTTCCTGACTTTTCTAAGTTTCCCACAGATACATTTAAATACATTAAATACATTTAAGTATTAACTTAGCCACCCTCCACAGGGAATGAATGGTGGCTACCCAGCGTCAAAGACTATCACTGCTGTCATCATAGGTTAGGGCTTATTTCAAACTAAGGAGTCCTCTTAATGTCTATCACATAGACCTTGCTCATTCTGCAGCTGGCTACTAACAGAGCCTGAAAGCAGTGGTAGAGAGGTGGGTGTCACATAAGGCAGCCTCTGACAAAAATCTTCTTCCAACACATGCAGACTCTTCATCTTAATTTGGAAAAGGTTTGGCGATTATAGGTTTAAGTTTTAAAAGACAGAATAAGGAACAAAGATCATAGGTGCTAAAAATTGAGATGTCCAATGATATAAAGCCTATTTATATTGTTTTGGTACCAAAACTTCAGAGATGGAAGGCAGCTGGGGCCTAGAGAGGGAAAATAATTGGCCCAAGGTCATGCAACCATTTAACGTAAGAGCTGTAGCAAGAATACAATTCTGCCAATACCCAACCCAGTGCTATTTCCAGTTAAAAGAAATTTTAAGAAATAGTTTTCCATTACTGGTATAAGGAAGAAAGGAGAAAAAAAAACCTATTGAGATTTTTCCATCAAATCCTCAATAATATTAATAATCTACCTAGTTGAAGAATATTCACTCAAGTATGGTATGTTTAGAGGGATATAAAGCATTAATAGTAAATGTATTGAAATAAAACTGTATTGAACCTTGCTTACCTTGCATATGGTATGTAGGAAAGACTGTACCTAGAAAGAAAGAAAATATTCACATCAAAACAAAAGTCCTGATCTCTTCACTGAGAGTACTGATATGCCCACACTCCCTTACATCATTGCCCTTGTGCCCAAAGGCACATACACTGGCAAATCATTGGCCAGCATGAGGAGGCTCACTGTGACCACAGAATAGAACAAAGGGGAAGTCACGTGGAGGCAAAGCCTATGACTCTGACCTTGTCAGTGTAGTACTCGATATAAACGAACTCACCTACAAAGCTACAACTTTCTAATCAATGAAAAATTTTAGGTGAATTGGAAGGAACACAAGACTCAAAATATTCCAGATTTTTAAATCTTCTCCATTCCATTCATGCATGTGCGTGTGCGTGTGTGTGTGTATGTGTATGTGTATACATAAACTTTATTTTGTCCTGTTGTATGGATTCAGTTTCATTTTGTTTGGTTTTTGGTGCTCATAGTACCTGGAGGTTTCTGAACAACCTACATGCCTTTGGCTTCTTCCGTTTCTTAATTCTGAGTACACGTACACACTCTCATTCTCTCCATATGCATATATGATATATATGTATACACACATTACATAATATGTATTACATATGTGTATAACATGTGGTATGGATTAACATGTGTACATATGTGTCTGTATCATGCGTATATGTGTATACATACATATCACATCTGCATATGTATCTTATGATATGTGATGTGTATACTATAGATATAACGTGTGTATGTGTGTTCATGTACGTGTGCTTGCATATACAGCACATCTGTATTGTTCATGCATCTTCTATATAATGTATGCATGTGTAATGTGTGTAATATAGATTAATGCATGTATATAATACACCTGTGTGTACATGTATGTACATACCACATGCATATCACACCTTATATATTATATATATAGTACATATTATAAAATATGTGTGTGTGTAAAATATATATTTGTCTATGTGTACATAGAAAATATATATCTGGATAAAACATGGTTTATATGCATGCATGTATACATATATGTGTATAAAATATGCATGTTTGTATTACAAAAGAGTTATATATGTATTTACATATAAATATGTATATACAAACACACATATACATATACACACATATATGGAGAGACAGAAAATAAGAATGTGTGTGTGCATTCAAAATTAAGAAAATGGAACAGGCCAAAGGTGTATAAGTTGTTCAGAAGCCTCCAGGTATGATGAGCACTAATAATCATAAAATAAAACTGACTCTATACAAATGGATAAAGTCCAGTTTGCTCTCAACATGGGAATCATTTCAGAATCAGTAGCCTACACAAAAGTCAGACCATTGACTGGTGAGAAGGATGGCCAAAATAATAGCACGTTAAAAGAAAAGATAAAGATGTAATGGGATGTGAACAGTCTCAAATCAGCCTATGTAAATAAGAACTTACTTTGAAAATAGGCCAAAAACAAAAATTTAACATAAAGACAATGCCTCCAAATATTACCATCTTTTTGAGAAGTCTGATGTTATAAAAAAAAAAAAGCCACCACAAGGAGGAAACCAAAAAAGCCCAGAAACTTTCTGAGCAGGTAAACCTTCAATCTCATGACTACATAGAGAAACACTGATTTAGAATAGTGGTTCATCTGCAAAACATTGCAGGGAACAACAATAAGAGAATATTACAGGCCATACAGCCTCACAAAACAATGAAAAGCCATTGAGGGGTTAATAGTTGTCCATAAGTGAGGGGTGGTGTCAGCAATTAAAGAGCTCAATTCCAAAGGAAAGTGATAAAAGATCCCTTTGCTGTACCCCACCAGTTTGACACAACGAAGCCAGACGTACACAGCTTTTCATATCCCACTCTCTTCAAGTTCCTTTTTAATCCTCCTACTTGACAGGTATTGACTTTTATCTCCTTAAGCTACATTAACCCAGAAATGCCAAAGCTTGGGTGGAGGTAAGACAGAAGTATTGTTTTAAAATGACTATCTTCATCTCTCCCCCAACACCTACCCCAGGACTCTACATAGAGTAGGCACCTGATACACGGTTATCATTTGAAATGATGAATAATGTTACTTACCACGTCAAGGCCAAAGATTGCAAAATGCAGAAAAGGAGAGCGAGTCCTTTGTTGTGCCACTGAAAAAGAAAAAAGAAATTATGTTTTAGGTTTTTCTTTCTAATAAAGTCGAAAACTGGCATTAGCCAAAGACTGGAAGGAAAGAAAACCATACTCACCCAGAAGGCAGAACACAGAGTGAGAACAAGACACAACTAGGAGGGAAAAGGGAGATGTTCATTAAAATTATTGAGAAACAAAAAAGCAAAAGTGAAGTTTCATCAAGGACTTTAGCAAAACAAATACCTCACATATAAAAAAAGGAGCAGACAGTTAAAAGTGTGCCTTGCTCTGGGTGATCTTTTACTCTAATCGTAAAGGCTCCTCCTCCCCATTTTAAAACCATATCTATCCATCATTGCTAACAAATACATAATAGTACAATTCAGGCCTCATAACCTTACCACCACCATCCCCCAAAGTACCTTTCATTTCAAACAACTGAACACATACATGCGAGAGAAGAGTTAGAGTCAGACTGGCTAGCAAAAAGTCATATTAGAAAGGAAAAAAGGCCTCTCTGACCATCAAAGCCCATCTGTAGTGTGCTACTCTGGCAAAAGGCTAAAAAGCACTGTCCCACAAACAAATATAATCCTCTTCCCAAAAACACATTTTGCATGCAAGGTCCTTCTAACTTAAAAAAAAAAGCCTCCTAAGTAATCAAGTCTTGAAGGAACATATGTTGACCTCAAACTCGTCACACCTTAAAGAGGTAGAGGGATCTCAGCTTGCCACCAAATGGTTTCCACATGCCTCTGAAAGCCATCTTCAAATGAGACTTGTCTCATTTGGATCAGACAAAGAATGACCAGGAAGACCTAATACTTATGAATTCAGTCACCCATGTCCCCTCCTTCCTGGGTTCTTAAGGTGTGTTATTCCATAGCACATATCTTACAGTGCGCTAAATGATACAACAAATATAGATGTGGGGTGGCACAGTGGATAGAGAACCGGCCCTGGAGTCTGGAGGACCCAAGTTCAAATGCGGCCTCAGACACTTGACACTCACTAGCTGTGTGACCCTGGACAAGTCACTTAACCCTATTGCCTAGCCCCCTCCAAAAAAAACCAACAACATAGATGTAATTATGTCTTTCACTATAGAATAAGAATGTGCAATAAAACCCAAGCTCTTAGTATCATAGATTTAAATCTGAGAAGATCTTCAGAGACCATCTAACCCAATCCCTTGATTTTAGAGATGAGGAAACTGAGGCTCGGAGTTATATGGTACTGCCAAGAAATCACAGGAGTTCAAAGGAGGGAACATTGTAAAGCAATTGGGCTACATGACTGACGGTCCCTTCCCTGCATAAATCCTTGGGTTCTAGGTAGTCAGGGGAGGCTTCAGAGTAGAAGTGGTACTTGCGCTGAGCCTGGAATGAAGGAATAGCCAGAGAGATGAGAAGAAGGCACCAAAAGTAGAGGAAACAGCATCTGCAAAGGTGCAGAGAGTATGGAATGAACGTGGGGGTAGGGGAGAGAAGGTGGGAAGATGGAGAGAAGGCCAAAGGGTACATTTCATTGGAGAATGAAGAAAAGGAATGCTAAGCTTGGGAAACTACGTGACACCCATAGAATGAATTTTGTATTTCTGAAATAGACTACATAGCATCTGGACTGTGTACGTTTCCTTCTTCACCAGAAGGTTGACTCTGCTCTTTTAATTAACCTGTCAGTTAAGAAATTACAATATTGATAGGCATTGCCCTCTGGAGGAGCTCGACAGAAATGGCATTTTAAAATCACCAATGAACTATTTCCTAAGGTAGTTTGTTATTTTTTTTTAAACTAGATGAAATATTAGTGCTTTACTTTAACATTAACTGTAAGATGATAGATAGTTCAAAGCAAAGAGAAAGAAAAAAAAAGTACACAAATTACTATTTAAAGAAAAAAAGTCAGACTCTGCAACAGAATTAAAAACTCCCCCTTTGGAATACCTGTTAAAATGCAATCCTTACCAACATCACAATGGTTGCAATGAGTCGTGTAGGCTCAAACATGCGCTTCAATTGCTTCATTGGTCCCATGAGAAAAATAGTACTGCAGTAAGCAAAACATATCCTGTCTGAGACCAGTATAGCTAAAGGAACACAACAAACATCATATCATTCTCTTCCCCAAACCCTTCAAGACAGATGTCTTTGAGGGAAATCTAATAAAGCTATCCCCGCCACCGAGCACATTAAACCCTCCATCCACAAAAAGGATCAGATTTTAATAAGCTTGATTATAGTTTTCAGAAGAAATTATCCTTCTCTTACCGCCCTCCACCTTTTTTTTTCCCAAAAAGTATTTGAGGTTTGAAAAAAGACAGTGAGAGATTAACTGGCAACTAAGACTGAAACAAAAATGAGACAAAGTACAAGGAGGTTCTGATAACTTAAATGAGTCCTCCCTGAAGCCTGGTGAAAACCACCCCCATGATTTTACTACTGTGATTGCTAGAAGTGGATAATATTCAACGTCAGCCAACATCATGGCACCCAGTGCTAGCCAGAACCTCACCTACTAAGTAGACTTTTCTACTGGTCAATTTCATGACTTCCTCTGTTGACTTCAACTAAATTTGCAACCTTTCTTCAAGAGTGCACTTAATTTATACCTATTACTAAACATTAGCCAGTACGTTAACTTATCCTTGAAAAGTAGAAGAACTACATGTGTATGTATATAGACATATACACATACACACATAGAAATATATACACATAGGAATATATACATACACACATACACAGATTCAAAGTTGGAGATCATCTAGTCCAAACATCTCATTTTGCAGATAAGCAAAGCCCAGAGAATTTAAGTGACTGGCCCAAGATCACACAGATAGCAACTAGCAGAGCCCTATTACAAGTAAATACACAAACAGCAGCTGTGTGACCCTGGGCAAGTCACTTAACCCTGCTGGCCTCAGTTTCCTCATTTGTAAAATGAGCTGGAGGAAGAAATGGCAAACCACTCCCGTATTTTTGCCAAGAAAACCCCAAATGGGGTCACAAAGAGTCAGACATGACTGAAAAGACTCAACAACACAAACATTACAGATGATTTAATTTTGCCCTAAGTAACAATGGGGGAACAGTCACCTTGGGATTTGACCAGATCTTCTAGACTTTGGATCACACACACACACATTTATGGTCTACACTACAACGTCAATAAGAAATGTGAAGAAGCTAAAAAATAAAACAGTATCCTTTTTTTTTGGGGGGGGGACCTTGCAATGCACAGTCACCTAAGAAAAGAACTACTCTATTGCATCACCCAAGGCCTAAGTAATGATGAGCGAAGGCCACAATGTCAGTTAAAGTCATCAGTGACCAGTACACCATGTTAAGACTCTCCCTGCTTGGGTGATGATGAGACCTACAGGTTGAGATGATGATAAAAAGAATAAATAACATAATACAGTTATCCCTTCCACATCACAGGGCTTAGGGGTACAGCACCCCCACAATCTGGAAAATTACATCGAATTTTTTGGCCTTCCTTTCGTATCAGAGAAGAAGTCTAGATTATTATGGCATTAACAGATAAAACAGGTTATTATACAATACTATACATATATTTTATGCATATCTGAGTTTCTAAACTTTTTCTGTGTCATCTGCTGGCCTCTGAGTGTCATCTGCGGCTTCTGCAAAATTCCCAAAGAATTCCCATTTAGTTTCTTATGCCAACGCACGATATATCAAAACCTTGATGGGAAAAGTGGGGAGATGTGCAAGAGATAACTGTAATATGAGCTTATTACATACATATGTATATTATATATGTACATTATATACATGTTTCCTTCTTATATAAATAGCCATTGCTTAATCTGGAAACATTTATCATCATCTTCATCTTAGGTGACGAATTGCCCCTAATGAAAAGTTCCACAGAAAGAATACTGCTGCTTTAGTCATTTTGTACTTCTTATCTGAGTTATAGCACATGCCATACATGAACTTGAGAGTGCGCGTGTGTGTGTGTGTGTGTGTGTATGATATCAACAAAAAAAAAACAAGGTGACTCATTTTTTTTACTATGTAGGAAAAAAATAAACTAAATCAATTATCTGTAAAGAACTATAAGTTTGCGGATAACAGTAATAATATTTACATAATGTTTACTATGTGCCAGACACTGTGCTAAATACTTTACAATTATCTCATTTGATCCTCACAACAACCCTGGGAGATGGGTGCTATTGTAATCCCCATTTTACAGATGAGAAAACTGAAACAAACAGAAGTTAAGTGATTTGCCTAGGATCATACAGTAAGTGGGGCTGGATTTGAACTCAGGTCTTCTGGAATCCAAGCCCAGCACACTGTACCACCTAGCCGCCCATATCTATATGCCCATATATAGCTGTTGGATATACTTGTAATTTGGATGATACGCATTTATATATGTGATACTCTACTATTACTAACACCTTTCATTCATATAGGCTTTCAAGGTTTGCAGAGTTCTTCATATAAATTATCTCAATATGATTTTCACAAAAACCCTGGGAGGTAAATATCTCATGTACAATTTTTAAAAATTTACTTAAATGTATCCTTTCAATGAATGAAAAGCTACTTTTTCTCCTTCCCACCTCCTCCTCCCATCACTGAAAAAGAAAATACAGTTTGTACCCCGAGTCTGTGTCATATCTTGGATGTCATGCTTCATATCATGGATCCTCTAGAACTGTATTTGGCAACCGTACTGCAGCATTAAGTCCAAACTGTTCGCCTGGTTCTGCTCACTTCACTCTATATCAGGTCACACCCGTCTCCCCGGTGTCTCTAAAACTGGCCTCCCCTCCCCCCGCATTCAGCCCTTTTTTTAATAGCGTATTTCATCACATTCATTTCCTAAAATTTGTTCCACTATTTCCCAATTGATAGATAACCCCTTGGTTTCCAGTTTTTGCCAACCCAAAAAGAGTTGCTATAAATGTTTTTGTAAATATGGGTCATTTTCCTCTTCCTTTGATCTCTTAGGGGTAAAGTCCTAGGAGTGGCATCACTGGAGGCACAGTTTAGTAACTTTGGGGGGAATAATTCCAAATCGCTTTCCAGAATGGATGGACCAGCTCATAGCTCAACCACGAATACATTAATGTACTTCTTTTGTCACAGTGCTCACATCTCCCAGTATTTGGCATTTTGTTTTTGTCAACTTAACCAATCTAATGGGTGTGAGGTAGAAACTCAGACTCAAAGTTGCTTTAATTTGCATTTCTCTAATTAGTAGTGATTTGGACCATTTTCCCACATGGTTGTTGCTACCTTGCATTCCCTCATGCACTATTATTCTCATTTTACAAATGAGGAAACTGAGGCTCAAAAGTTAAATGACTTGTCCATGGTCATATAAATACTAAGTTTAGGACCAGACAAGATGAGAAGCTACTGCCAAGAGCAAGCAAAGCACTTTTAAATAATCTAATCACTGTTTAGGGACAGTAAGAAAGAGCAATGCTAGGAACTTTCCTGTGTAGTAACCACAACAATTCAGTTCAATATAACTCGTGTTTTTTAAGTAGCTAATATATGCAAGACACTATGCTCCCTATCAGAGAAATAATGGGAAAAAAAATAACCTTTGTTCTCAAGAATCAAGATACTTGCATTCTACTACAGAAATTCAACGTACTCACAGAAAAGTAAGTATAAGTAATTTGGGGAGTGAAACAATTCTACTAATAACCATAACTCAGACTCTTACAGCATTTTGGGGATCCTCAGAAAACCCACTGAGATAGGTAACACAAGAGTTATCCCCATTTTACAAGTACAGAAATAGGCACAGGGATGTTAAATTACCAGAGATAAATCATTTGCCCTAATAATAAATTTACTCTTTTCATTCTCTATAGACATCTATAAAGATATAGATATAGACATATACACAGATATCACTACAGATGTAGATATAGAAACATATAGATATAGATCTAGACTTAGATACAGAGATAGATAAAAACATAGATATAGGTATGATGGAAGGTTAACACAGCATGAATACAAATGAGAGGAAAATAGTCCTATAAGAATACTGTCAGAAGTGCTAAAACTCTGAATTAAGCAAGGCTTGTAATGAATTGTAATGAGAATAACAAAAAAGGGCTTTTTTTGTTTATTTGTTTTAAATTAAGCTATGGGGCATAAGGTAACTCATAGAAGGGATTAGACTTTTTGTTTGCATGAATGGAATGAGTATAAGATAAGAGTTTTTATTTTGTTTCTATTTTTTTCTAGTAAAAAATGTTGCTGTTTGGACTGGGAAAGGTAGCTCCAAAATGGTCAACAGGGCATTTAAATCCAGATATGTGAAGAGATAAGAGCACCTAGTGACCTTCACTGATCTGTTGAAAAGAACTGAAAGAGGTGATTATTGAAATTACTGTCAGTGACCCCTGAATAATCATGGAGGGAAAAAAAGTCGTAAGACTGGAAGCAGGCAAATATTGTCCCTATTTTCAAAAAGGGCAGAAAGTAGAATCTGCAAGTGATAGGTGAACTATAGTGAACTTCCCTTCAATTTCTCGCAAAATTCTAGAGCGTGTTATTAAATGGATTGTTTGTGAGCATATAGAAAGAAAAATGGTAGTGATTACTAAGAAGAAACATGGTTCATTAAGACCAGACTAACTTCATCTCCTTTAATGATAGGGTGAATTCCATTTGGGCAAATGACAAAGACATAATATAACTAGATTACAGCAAGGTATCTAAAACCATCTCATACTGTTCTCATGGTAAAATGGAGAGGTCTGGACTAGATAACAAACCATAATTAAATGGATTCAAAACCAGGTGAATGATTAGAACCAAAGAGTACAAATGAAGAGTTAGAAGTGACCATCAAGACCACTCCCAAACCTCATTTTACAGATAAACAAACTGAGCCACAGAGTGATTAAATGACTTACACAGGGTCACACCAACAAAAAGCATCTGATTCAGGATCTGAACTCAGGTCTTCCTCATGCCTAACCCGGTGCCCTATTCACTCTGCCATGATGTCTTGGCCTTTTGTTTTTTAATATTTTTTCAATAACTTGGATAAAAGTGAAAAAGACATTCTTATTTAATAAGCGGAGGGTATAAGCCTGAGATGAGCAGGTAATATATGGTAGATAACAGAATCAGAAAGTAAAGAGCTCTCAATAGGCAAGAATATTAGGCTGAATCTATTGAAATTAAATTGAACAGGGAGAAAAGTAAAATCTATAGGCGGGTACAAGTAATCATGTATTAGTACAAAATGGAGCAGAACATGACCATGTGAAATAAATCTGGAATTTCAGCGGGCTGCAAGCTCAATGGGAAACAACAGGGTGATTTGGCAACCAAAACAAGCCAATGAGAAAAACGTTGTCCAGAGCAAGGACAGAGAGTCCCACTGTATTCTGCCCTGATCAGACCACATCTAGAACACTGTGTTCCATTCTAGGTTTTACATTTTAAGAACAACAAAGGCCAGCTGGCACATGTCCAAAGAACAGTAACCAGAATGTTAAGGAGGAAAGAAGCATATTTTTGAAAAACTGACTGAAGCAACTGGAGATAATTGGCCTGGAGAAGAAAGGCCTTTGATGGAAACATAATTGTATTCAAGCATCTAAAGAGCTATCACGTAGAAGAGAGATTAGACTTGTGTTTCTTGATTTCGGGGGCAAAACTAGAATGGATGGGAGTACATCTTACCACAAGGAAGTAACTGAAACTCCTAAAAATGACAAACTTTGTGGGATGAAACCGATGACTGGAATATGGCTCCGGATGGGTATATCTTCTTCAAAAGGTACAAGATAAGTAAAAAGTGGATGGGGGGTAGGATCTCCTTGAACATTAAAAAAATACGTTATTGTACAGGAATCAAAAAGTAAAAGTAGGTTGTGGAAGATCTGGGCGACCATCAATGTAGGGAGAAACAAAAGTGATTTTGCCACTCAAATAGGCTAGAAACCACCTGGAGAGAAAGAAGAAATGGCTGAGGAGTTCAGGAAACACTTCATGAGCCCGACACGTGATGCAGGAGTGATGGGAAACTTCAATGATGTCGCCATTTGCTGGAATTCTCTACCAAAAGCAGAACAGAAAACAACTTCTTTTGTCTTAATGATCATTTCGTCTTTCAAAATACAGAGGGCTCAGACAAAGATATTTCCTGTATTTGTGTCGGAAGAGCTGGCTGCTGGGGTAGGAATGATACCTTTGGACAAGAGACTATTTCTTCCTAGGGTCTGTGACAGAGAAGGAGATGAGAGCCAGGCAAAGTCTGACTTGTACCCTGGATTCAAAGCAGATTTCAAAGGGATCATAAGGAGAAGGAGGAAAGCACGGACGACAGTGGCTCCCACTTCTATAGTGGAAGTCAGCACAGGAAAGATGGTAGACTCAAGAAGCATCTAAGACTAAGAAGCAGAAGACTGAAGACACAATGAGAAACAATTCTAACAAGGAAGAAAAAGGGAAATCTGTAGGAAGAGACCTATGCGGATACAGAGATAACTTATCAACCAACTTAATTTTTTTTAAAAAGGTATATACAGAAGACAGAAGACAAGTCCAAATAACAGATAAAGAATATAAAGTGTGGCACAATCCAGTAAAAATAGTGTCATGAATACTAAAGCTCAGGATGAGCTGAGAGGCTGGTGACCAAAGCTAAGGACCACAAAAAAAAATGGGGGGGAGGGTGGGGAGGAGTTGTTTAACCGTTTAAAAAGAAAAAGGAGGAGGCAGCTAGATGGCACAGAGGATAGAGCACCAGCCCTGGAGTCAGGAGGATCTGAGTTCAAATCTGGCCTCAGATACATAGCACTTACTAACTGTACTAGCTATGTGACTCTGGGCAAGTCACTTAACCCCAACTGCCTCACCAAAAAAAAAAAAAAAAGGAGGATAATCAAAAAAAGATTATGACCACTGCTTGAGATGGATGGGATAATGGCAACAGCAAAAGAAAGAAGGCAGAGGTGCTCAATAGTCTGTTTCTGAGACAGAACAAAAATGACTAAAAGGGAGTTGACAGCCAAGATAAGTTAAAAAAAAACTGTGAGAGCATTAGCAGCCCTTGATGAATTTAAGTCACCTGGTCCAAATGCACCACATCCTCAGGTACAGAAATGGGACTGCTGAGCCAATGGCCATAATGAATGAACATTTACGGAAATGAAGAGACATTAGAAGATACCTCCAACCCACCTCTTTGTGGAGGTGAGAGGTTTATGGGTTTCAGACTTTTTCAATCTACTGATCAGTTGTGCCGATTTTCTTCTTTCCTTTTTCTTTAAAAAACACTATTTGTTATATGGGATGGCTCTCTGAGAAGGGGAGAGGGAGAAATACCAGGGGAAAATTATTATGATGTAAATAACAAATGAAATCAATAAAAATTTATTTTAAAATATTTTTAACTTTAAAAAAATTTTTTTTTAAATCATGGAGAACCGAAAAGGTACTGTAGGGGGTGGAGAAGAGCAAATATTGTAATGACTTTCAAAAAAGAGGCCCAGTGACCTTGACTTCTATTCCTGGATAAATTCTAGAATGGATTAGACACAGTTAATAAACACCAAGAAGAGGAAGTGGTGATTATAAAGAGTTAGCAAGACTTTATCAAGAATGGGTCATTCAAACTAACACTGCTTCCCCTTCTGACAAGTTGACTCAATGTGTTAGATAAGGGGAACACTACATAGTTCAGCCAGATTCTTGCCAAGCTTTTGTATTGAATGGCTTGGTGTCAACTTGACAGAAGGTGTCCAGTGGAAAGTCTCAGAGATCTGTACTCACTCCACATAATGTTAGCGTTTTATCAGCAACTTGGATAAAAACACATATGGCAAACTTATCAAGCCGTCAGGTGAAATGATGAGAAGAAACTGGTGTCCTGTATAGTAGATAGAGAGCTAGCCTCCAAGCCAAGAAGATATATTTTCAAGGCCAGCCTATGACACATACTGACTGGGTGACACTCACTTAACCTCTCAATTCTCTAGGAAACTCAGTAAAACTATTAAGTTGCAGAAAAGGTCACGATCTGCATTGGTAGAAAGAGTTTCCTCACCAGGGAGTTCTCTATAGGTCCAGACCCCATCCCTACAAAGCTGAGAAGGACTTTGAATAGTGAACATATTGTGTGATAGTCAAGATCCAACAAGACCATGGCTAAAAAATGCAAAGAGATAAATTTAGATCTGATATGAAAAGAAACTTCCTAACAATTAGCCATAAACAGAATGGGCTGCTTTCAAGAGTTAGTGGTTACCCCTTAACTGGCAATATTCAAGCAGAGACTAGATGACCAGGCCTGTTGTAGGGAGATATAGGTTGGCCTGGATGGACCAGAAAGTCCTTTCCTACTCAAACTCTGTGCAGCCAAAGTCAGATCTACACTCATTGTAAGGAAAAGTAAACAATTAGACCTATTCAAAATTGGAACAGGCTTCCTGGAGAGTAGGTGGATTCTTTGTTACTGAAGGTATTCAAGTGGAGGTTGAATGGCCACTTGTGGGGATGTTATTATGAAGATTCCATTCTTGTACACGCTGGTCTAAATGACCTCCAAGGCTCCTTCCAATTCTGGGATTCTAAAAATTATTCTTAACCTCTAGATGCTTCAGTTTCCTCATCTGCAAAGCAGACATGAAGGAAGGGACAAAGAACACTGGAAAGAGAGCATGGGACTAGCAATCAGAAAGCCGGGGTTTTTAGCCCTTTGTTATACTACAATTCGCCAAAGGATTTTGGGATAAGGCCTTTGAAATTTCTGGGCCTGCTTCCTCAGCTCTGTTAACTAGAGGAGCTCCAAAATACCTTCTTGCCCTTTTTTAATGACCTGATTCCATTCTATCTACCTCAAAGGAGAGCTGGAAAGCTATGCAATAGGATAAACTGTATGCACACCCTTTAGATTATAGCTAGGTAGTACAGTGGACAGTAAAATGGACATGGAGTCAAGAAAACCTAAGCCTGAAACATCCCTCAAACACATACTAGCTGTATGATTTAGCAAATCACTTGGCCTTTCTCAGTCTGTTTCCTCAACTCTCGAATGGAGACAATGATAGCACCTCCCTGGACAGGGTTGCTACAAAGATCAAATGAGATGTATATATAAAGTACTTGGCAAACCTTAAACACCATATCAAAGTAAGAGAAGGGAACAAGCATTGTTAAGCACCTACTATGTGTGAGGCACTGCGCTAAGCACTCTACAATTATCAATATCAGCTGTTATTATTCTTTTAAGTGTTAAAAGCAGCATACACAAATAAAGGTTCACTCTAATGCCTTGCAGCAGCTGGGCAGATAGAGTGCCAGGCCTGGAGTCAAGAAGACTCATCTTCCCGAGTTCAAATCTGCCTCAGACACTTACTGGCTGTGGGGGCCAGTAGAACCTAAGCTCCAACATATCAAGTTGGAAAGTCTTTGAATACGGGCCCAGAGAGAGACAGCATGTCTGTCACCAAGAACTAGACCTATTAAGTGTACAGAGGCGCATAACCAGAGAGCTGACTAATAAGTTCCGAATTTCTTTGGCCATAGGAATGAAGAAATTGTCTTTAAGGCATGGAAGGAGAGATTGCCATCCGTATCAGTAAAGGCATTTCCATACCAACAAAACCATGACCCCTTAAAGTATTATTTGTATTTGCCAGATCCTTAAAAATGCAAAATCCCTGGTTGAGAACCTTCTTCTCCCCTACCTCTAGCACAACCTAGTTCCAGTTTCTCATTCAGGGACTAGCCAGGTTTAGACAAAGAAGTCTGTTACCTCCCAAGTGATGCAATGTTCCCCAAGGTATAAAATGCTGCAAAAAGGACAAGTCCTCTCCGAGGCACCCACAGCATAAAAGTCCCCTAGAACAAGAACAACAGAAAAGAAAAGTGATGAGTGTTCTTAAGAAGACAAAGTGACCAAGGATTCTCGTGAAAGGAAATATCCTGCATACGTTTCAATGAACAAATCAGAACTATTAAATTACCTCCACCCGAGGCGACTATTAGTGAATTTTCTCTCTCTCTCTCTCCTTTTTTTTTTATCTGTATTAGTAGAATTCGAGTAGGGGAGTATACCACAGAGGGGCGACCTTACCATCAGTGAGAAGATAATCCCTAAGGCAAAACAAGCAGCAAAGCCTTTGATTCTTGTGCCCCAGCTTAATGACGGTGTTTCAATAATCTGAAATTTAAAAATATGTCAGTTGTACAAAGGATACAAATGAGGAAAGTTCCCAAGTAAGGGGGTGGGAGTGGCAAAGAAATAATGTGAAACAAGACTATACTGAGCAAAACGAATTCAATTCAAACATTTACTAATCACTTATTGTGTCCAAGGCAATAGTTCCACCCAGTCTGGGTGGCATCCAGAGACAGGGTCTTAGGACTGGAGCCCAAGCATAAGCACCCCATCATGAGGCATTCTAGGAGGCTCAGGGAATACCAAGAATTTAACATCATTTTTACCCTAAAAGTACCTGCAGTCCAATAGTGGAGATACAACATATATACAAATAAGTATATTACACAGTAGGATGTGACCGAAGAGATCTACACAAAAGCCTCCAAAAAATGTGAGGCAGAAGAGTCTTCTTTCAAATGGAAAGGGTAGGAGAAATCAGGGATGCCTTCTTGGAGCAGCGGGGAAGTTGAAGTGGGCCTTAAGGGGAAGAGAAGGCTTTTGATTCCCCATATAGGAAGCCCCCACCACTCCTGCCTACCCTGAGTAGGAAATGGGCGAACAGGGAAAGGGACTAAGGGAGTAAGGAACAAAGTCTCTTTACTAAGCTCCTTTCTCCCTTCCCCCCAGCCCCTAGATAGGAAACATGCAGAAGAAAGAGGAAAATAAGCTAAACAGATATCCTAGTGGCCAAATCTTTTCATCACAGAGCAAAAGCTACCTGTGGGATGGTTAGAGAAACATATTCTCCTCTACAGAAGTTGCTGGGGTGTAAAAAAAAGGGCTTTCTAATAATAATACTGGCACTATTAAACTGACTCACTCTAGCCTGAGGCATTCAGTAAAGGGGTCACCAAAGAAATGACTTCAGTGATAAAATGTTGGCCTGAATCTTCATGTCTGCAAAATCAACCGTAATGTAGAACCCATTCTTGTTAGAGGCAGCCAACAGAACATTTAAAGTAGCAGGGACAGTCAACACTATAAGAGATCCTGGTTAGTTAATTACCATACTTGTTTCTCCTGGGTCTTTACCAACTTTTCTGTTTCCTATATTAAAAAGTCAAAGGGGAGTGGACAGGGCAAAAAGGAACAACTTGTGGGGTGGTACCCCACAAGAAGTTGATAGCAGCATCTTTATATAACCATATTCTCAGAAGAAATCTCAGGCAAAGCATAGAATAGTGTTACCAAATCACTTTCTAACCACCAGGGCCTCATGACCAAACAGAAACTGGCCGCCATCATTCTGAGCCAGATACAAACTTCAGCTAACAGGAAGCGTAAGCACCGTTACCCTATCAATCTCACAGGTACACATTTTCCAGAGTCTCTATTCATGATGCGATAAGTTCCTTTTGTATCCCCAATGCTTAGCACTCTATCTGGCATATAGTTGGCGCTTAATTTTATTGATCAATTATTGAAGGTGGCAAGAATGCCTTCTTGTAGCTGGGACCAGCCCTTACCTCCAGTCTTCTTAACGAATGAGAACCTAGAAGGAGGGATGCCCAGGTACCCCAGATGCGGAAAACAATGTCATAGAGCTTAATCTTCACATGGGAGGTAGGTCACTAGATCAGGTGTTCTTAAAAGGCAGCATCTTGCCTATCATCTCTCCTCTGCACACCATCTCACACCCACCCTCACACATAGCCCAGAAGAGGGCTCATTACATTGCAACATAAAGCACACCAAAACTCCATGCAAACAGATACCCGATGACATGAGAACACGGCAAATCACACATTCATGGACACCAACATCCATTGAGCAGGAGGATATGCGAGATGGTTTGCCTTTACGAGGCTGATAAAAAACCACCTCTGCTTTCAGGAGTTTCTGAGTCAGACTCGAGTAGCCTCTTAAGCCTGATCCAGCGACACTTAATCATTAACATGATTTAATAGTGTCTTTAGACAATGGGGTTGGGTTACTTCTGACTAAGCCTCTTCCCTACCCTACCTCAAGAAGAATGACATGAGAAGCCAGTCAGTCCTCTTACTCATACGTGAAGTAAGGTGGAAAAAAACACTGGACTGCATGTTGGAATGAAATGAGGAAATGAGGAAATGATTTAGAATCTATGGATCTGCGTTCAAGTTCTGACTATCATTTATTACCTATGGGGTCTTGGCAAAGACACGCTGCCCCACCCCCACCCCCACTCCAGGGCTGCTATCATCTGTAAATTGGGGGAATTGGGCTAAATGCTCTCTAAGGATACTTTCAACTCAAGATTCCTATGGATGTTTGATTATTAGTGGAGTCAGTGGGTCTTTTGTGCAGGACAAATCATTAAGCTATGACTGAACCAAAATTTAAGGAGCTCCTGGTACTAAGACTATAAAACAAATGAAACACAGAAGTCACGGTTTAGACATGTTCTGGCTCATTGTCCCAAATACTCTGTTACTGAAAGGGCTTTTGTCTTTAAGTTAACCCTATTCTAAGGTTCTGTCACCTACAAAAAGGGAAATGACACTTTGGTATCACTTTTGGTCTCATTTTTTAATAATTTTTAATGATCATTATTCCCTTTCACACCCTTACCCAGCTCCCTCAAAAAAGACAGGGGCGCTGCACCTAAGCCCTGTGAAATGTACACTTCACCTACAGGTCTAAGTGGCATGCAGGCACAAGGTGCATCTGGTTCTACATAAACTCAGTGAAACCAAAGGACCTTTTGGGGGGACACTGGGTCTCCCTATCTCATCCAGCCTGGAAGTGCAGCTCATGAGGTTGATTTCACTTCTGATGGCTGGGTAAGCTTTCACCTGCTCCTTTTCCAACGTAGGATTTGACCTCCTTTAGAAAGCCTGGTGCCACATCACCCCTCCCTTGCGGGGCTCACAGCATCAGTGCTGAACTTAGGGTGGACACTCAAGCAGCCTTAGACCTACTGAAGCTCAGAAGTTCCAAGCTTACCACCAGCCTCAGCCATCGGTGCCCAGAGATTATAGACTCGAACCTGAACTCAGGTCCTCTTAGGGTAGCTAGGTGGCAAAGTGCATAGAATGGTGGGGCTAGAGGCAGGAAGACTCACCTTCCTAAGTTCAAATCCACCCTCAGACACTTATTAGCTATGACCCTGGGCAAGTCACTTCACCCTGTTTGCCTCAGTTTCTCATCTATAAAATAAGCTGGAGAAGAAGATGGCAAACCACTCTAGCATCTTTGCCAAGAAAACCCCAAAAGGGGCCATGAAGACTTGGCCATGACTGAACAACAACCACAATGCCCCTCAAGGCTACAAACAACCTTTTCTTGCAAATCTTCAGAAACGTGCTGGAGGCTGACATCATATCAAACGGCCGCTCTCCCAGGTCAGGCTGGATAGAGCATATCTGCTAATACACTCTCCTGAAAACTGGAACTGCTGAAACGCAGGGAAGCATTTTTTTATGCGCAATCTGATCCCGGCTTTGCAGACTGGTATTTGTATACAAAAGATCCCTTTAGACTTTGGGACAGAGGGGGGGGAATGATGAGTTTCTGTTCAAAGGAAAGGAAAGCTAAGAATTGTTGAGGGAAAAAAATGCTGGCAACTAGGCAGCAAGGGAGAAATACTGAATTCTTCCTTGTTTCTGGAACTTTTTAGAGAAAATGCAAGAATATTTTTTGAAAGAAACTCCTTGGAACCCAAAGTCTGACATTTATTTGTAAACCTCAAAGTCCGTATTTTGGATGACACTACATTATATACATTACATGCACAACGTTCAAATTTTAATGACTAATTCACAACTGCAGGTGACCCAGGGTGCAAGAGACACATGGTGGATATAAATAGGCTGTGGTACACTAGCTATGACGACATTTTAAAGAACACGAACAAATGGAAAAGGAAGTGAGGGCTGGCCAATTATGGATAAAAGAAAACAGATGGACATTCCCCTTGTTGCAAAGGTATCAACAGACTACTAAAAGAACAAGAGTCAGATAGTCCAGAAGCAGGCAGCTAGATGGTACAGTGAATAGAGTGTCAGGCCTGGAGTGAGGAGGACTTAATCTTCCCACCCTCAAATCTGGCCTCAGACATTTACTAGCTGTATGACCCTGGGCAAGTCACTTAACCCTGTTTGCCTCAGTTTCCTCATCTGTAAAATGAACTAGAGAAGGAAATGGCAAACCACTACAGTATCTTTGTCGAGACATGGGGTCATGAAGAGTCAGACACAACTGAAATGACTGAACAACAAAAACCTCCAGAACACTGGGTGAATTTTAGGGCAACAGGCCTAAATTTTAGTCTCTAGACCCCTGTACACTCTTAAAAATTATTGTGAACCCCAAAGAGCTTTTGTTTTTGTGGTTAATATCTATCAATATTTACCATATTAAAAATCAAAATTGATAAAAAAATTTAAATATAGTTGGGTTCTCTTATCTCCTGCATTCAATCTGTAGCAATATAAAGAAACTTTATACATTATCTCATAATGCACAGAGCTATGAATTTGAAATTAGAAAGACTCTTGTTGTTTTGGTCGAACTATATGAAGAAAATCCAGTCCCATACAGATATGTGGTCAGAAAAAGGAAGAGTATTGTAATAGGCAAATAAGATCTTAGCATTAATATGAAAATAGTTTTGACCTTCTGGACTCCAGGAAGAGTCTCAGGAACCCCCCCAGGAGTCTTCCAACCACACTTTGACAACCATTGGCATAAAAATAATAACAATAACAATAAATAATAAAAACATTTATATAGCATTTTAAGGTTTACAAAGAACTTTACACATTATCTCATAGTGAATAGAGCAATGAACTTGAAATTAGGAAGACCCTGGTGCAAATCCCACCTCAGACCCAAACCTAAAAGTACTACCTGAAGGTCAGAAATTCTCCTTACCTTCTATAGATGACTTATGGAAAGACAAGAAGAATCACCCAAGATGAGTGTCCCCTGCAATATGCTTGGAGGCACAAGATCAGAGTACTGAATTAATCTACAATAATTTACTTCTTCTCTTTCTTAAGGGTTTATAAGAGCCTGTTTTTCATGCTCAGATGGGTGATATGGTAGGTAGGTATGGAGTCAAGAAGACTTGAGTTTGAATCCTGTTTCAGACATTTATAGCTCTGTAACTTTGGATAAGTGACTTAACCTCTCATTGCCTCATTTTCTTCATCTGTAAAATGGGGATAATAACAACACGACCTCCTAGGGTTGTTGTAAGGACCAAATGAAATAATATATGTAAAAGCACTTTATAATATTAAAGTGCTATATAATGCTAGTTATTATAAATATTATTTCTTTCTTTTTTTTCTTGGCTAGGCAATGGGGTTAAGTGACTTGCCCAGGGTCACATAGCTAGTAAGTGTTATGTGTCTGAGGCTGGATTTGAACTCAGGTCCTCCTGAATTCAGGGCCAGTGCTCTATCCACTGCGCCAATAAATATTATTTCAAAGACAACTTTTAAAAGAGAAATTTAAACCCATACTCATTAGGATGAAAAAAAAATTGAAATATTCATCATAATGTTACCTGGGATTTTTCATTTCAACAAGATTTTTGCAACTACCTAACATCTAATTTAGAAAAACTTAAACTAGAAAGTTATATTTTTACCATCAAAAAAATCAAAATCAGAACAGGAAACAAGGAGGGCGGGGGTGGGGTGAGAATCACATTTCCCGTTATTCTGCTTACAGAGTGAAAAAAACATGCAATGACATTTTATAGAATCAGCCTTTAGAGCTGGAAGAGATGTTTCTCAAGGTGAAAGCTGGGAGGAACTTCAAAGAACATTTAATCCAACTACCCATTATACAGATGAAGAAACTAAAACCTAGACATGTAAACTTTCTCAACTAAGACTGCATAGCAGATTACTAGCATACACAGTTCCAGAATTCAGACCTCCAGACTCTTGGTTCAAGGCTCTTTCTCTCTACGACATGAAGTCATTTGGTTCAACCTCCCATCAACACTAGCCTCCCTTCCTTTCATCACTTGTAATATCTGAATTTCGAAAAATCTGATAAATCATAAAAAGTAGGACCAACATTTTTAAAGGTCATGATCCAAGTCCCAAAACAAAAAGAAAACAAAACCCTACCTAAAATGAAACCAGCCAATTGTGAAATACTTTCCACAAACAGATTCTTTAAGGTCAGTATTAATACAAAGACACCTCTGCCAAAATAGCACATCACATTCTGAAAAGGAAAAGTGGTAACTGTTTTAGCACAAAAAAAAAAGTTTTAAAAATTGGCTTATTATTCTCAATTATTCTCTTTCTTCTATTTGACTCCACCACACACAGGATTACCTTGCACATTGCTTTGCACAGCTTTTGAAACTGTCTACTCCATAAATGCTTGTTGACTGTGTGGTATAGTGGAAAGAGAAATGGACTTGGAGTCAAAAGTCTTGGGTCCAAGTTACAGCTCTGTGACCCTGGGCAAGCCACAATCTACACATCCCTCAGTTTCCTAATCTGTAAAATAGGGATAACACTTTCACAACTCATGGAGTCATGAAAAGCAAACAGGATAAAGTAGGTAAAGTGTTTTGCAAACCTCCAAGTACCATGCAAATGTAAGCTCTTCTTATTAAAAATTCTATCATATGACTACGTCTGGCACCGAATACGAGCGACTTCCTCTGGGCCAATGTGAATTTGGATGTGAGATCTCAAAATCAGAAGAGTGAAGCTGAATATCAGAGAATACAGGTGGATAACATCACAGACAAAGGATTGCCGGATCTGGTTAGAACTGAAAAGGAAACCTCAGAGGCCAGAGAAACCAACTTGATCATTTTATAGATGAGAAAACTGAGATTCAGGGAGGCTGAGGTACTTGTCTAAGGTCACAGAAGCAGTCAGTATCGGAAGCAGGATCTGAACCTCTTTCCTCATCTCTTTTCACCATACAATACTGCCTCCATAATCTTGGACAATTAATATAATAACAGTTGAGTAAAATACTATTACCATAAAGTAAGGAATGATGAGATGAAGAGTTTCACAGGAAACTCAAAAGACCTTCTGAACTGATGCACAGTGAGAAGAATTAGGACAATTTATAACATGACAATAATATTATAAAGCTAAACAACTTGGAAAGGCTTTAGAACTTTCATCAATGCAATGATAAACCATGAATTCAGAGGACTAAAGATGAAACATGCTATCTTCCTCCTGCCTGAGAGGCGACAGACTTAAAATGCAGAATGAAACCAACGTTTTTTGGACATGGCCAACCTGGGAATTTGTTTTGATAGACAATGCACATTTGTAATAAGGGTTTCCTTTTTCTTTTCTTTTTTTTGAAACTATTCAGATGGGGAGCAATGGGAAAGAGGTAATAAATGTTTGTAAAAATTATTAATGTTTTCATAAGACAGGCCAGCCCTCATTTTAGGGGAAAAAAGGAAGAGGGTCCCATGAAAACAATAAAAAACAATTTTAAAAATAATTGACATTTGTATCATATTTTACACACATTATCTCATTTGAGATTCAAATTAATCCAGAGATCAAGTGCTACTGAAATTATTATCCCCATTTTATGGATAAGGAACCTAAGGCTAATGACTTGTCTATGGTCACACAACCAATAAGGGTCAGAATTAGGATTCAAATTCAGATCTTTCCTGACTACAGGTTCTGGGCTTTTTCCTGCTACAATATGCTGCCGCAATATACAGTGAAAAGTCAGGCCTTTTTTTTGAGGGGGGGAGGGGGTAGTAAGGGAGCAGCTGGAGTCTCCTTTGTGAGACAAGAAGAAAAAAGTTATGTTACTTCCTAACCATATTGTTTTCCTCATTCACCATAGTAAATATTCAAAGCAGAAGGCTTTTAAAAGGACAAAGTAAAACTACAGGTCTGACAACCATAGATCTGGCTCTAACTAAGCATCCTGATAGGAAGAGAAGCTATGACAAAGATTACAGATGACTATCCTGAAATATTTAAAGGGCAGGCACCAGCAGGTGAGAATAGGTGTGTTCCACATTACTCTAGAAAACAGAACTGATGGATGTAAGTTACAAGGAGGCAAATTTTGGCTCAACATAAAAACTGTGTAACAAACGCTAAAAAGGGCAATAAGCTTTAATTGCATGGAGTTATTCAAGCAGAATAAAGATGGATTTTTGTCAGGAATATTATAAAAGAGGAGAGGCATCAAAGGAGGGACTGAAGGGCCTCAGGGCCATGACTTTCTGGGTTCTGCCTTCAGTTCATACTGGCAGTGAGAAAACAGATGCTGGGCAAGTCATTTAACTGATAATTGTTCATCTACCTGGGTAGAGGGGTTTTCCTTGGCGATCCTGGATCGCCTTACACAGATGAAATCACAGGAGTGGAGAGAAAGTAGGGAGGATGGATTCCATAGAAGAGATTCCAGAAATGGGTGGGAAGTTACCAACTTTGAATCTACGATTCTAAGTGTAAAGCATAAACAATAATAGAAAGAATAATCATATAATGGGCCCCTTTTACCTCTAAGACTTCTTCCCATGCTTTCCAAGTCTATATTCTGTAAAAAAAAAACTGGAAATATCAACTGTCATGGGATATTTAGAGTGGACTGGGCACTGCTAACTCCTCAAATGCTGATTAGATTGCAGTAAAACATACCAGGGAACTAAATTTACCAAGGTTTTGGGCACAGCACCAAACAATACAGACACACAGGGAGACAGCTATGGTAATGTCATTATCCTGGATACTAACAGCCAAACTGGCGAATAGTTTGGTGGGGGTGGGGCCCCCTGGGAATCAGACTCTTCTCCACGTCCCAGGAACTACAGACCCCCTGAGGTCACTCATACCTGACACCACGCTTCTGCGGCCTCATTGCCAAGAGAGGATGTGGATGGGAACTAACTTGAATTCAGGACAGACTCGAAGCAGACCTTTGTTTTTTTAAAGGTTTTTCTTTGTCTCTCCTTTGCTTTCTCTGTATGTGTGTTTATTTTTTTTTTCTGGTGGTCCCCAAGTATTTCAGCTTATGAAAAGTGACTCCGTCCTGACACCTCGAGCCCTCACTGAGCCTTTCAGGGGCCTTGGGAAGGAAATGGGAGGAGGTAGGTGTCCACCTCCTCCTTTGTCTCTCTTTCTTCCTCACTTGCCACCAACGTGGGTCAGAATCAGAAACCTGAGACAACCGAGGCTCCTCAACTTGGCTCAAGTGAAGGAAGAGGGAGAGGGAGGATAAGGAAGGGGAAAGGGGAGTGAGTGGAAGAGGAGGAGGGGAAGGGGGAGGGGGAGAGAGAGGATCGGGTGGGTCGGAAGGAGGAACACGCCCCTATCCCAGGAACAGTCCACCCTCCCAGCCCAGCCCCGTCCAGCCCAGCCCCAGCCTCGTGCCTACTTACCTCGGCCAGTCCTCCGCGATCCTCCGTGTCCTGGCCGCTCAGCACCTTCTTCAGCTTGTCCATCGCGGGCCTCCACACGACTCAAAACTCAGTCCAAAGCAAACTCCGGTACCCCTCCCTCGCTTCCTGTTAGTATTGCAACAATGTATTTATCTTCCGAGGCGCGCGGCTCTAGAGATACAAGTAGACAGCTGAATCCACCCCGCCGAACACCGTCCGGCCCAGCGTCGCCCGGCCCCGGCCCCGCCCCCGCCCCCACCCCCCAGGCTGTTTAACACCCACCTGTGGCGTGATTCCTGAAAACTACAGAGCCCGGCATGCACTGCTCCGACTCCTACGCTGGGGCTGCCCGTGGGGCTCAGTCATCCCATTCTCTACTAAAGCACGGAGCCTTTCTTCTAGCCTCTGGTCTCTGAGATTTCTCCACTCAAAGCTTTCCCAGGCTTTGTTTTGTAGATTGATTAATTGCCGGAGAGGTGAAGAAGGGATGCCAGCCGAAGAAAAATTTGATATCCTTTTGTTTTGCAAAAATGGCTCAAATCACCAAATCCAGCCCACCCTCTTTGCTCAGAGTTTACCCTGTTTGAAACTCCCAGGGAAGTCCATGAAATTAAGGTCACAGAAAACAGACTTAAAAGCCCCATTCTTTCTTGCTCTGAACCCATCTATGTGGGCATAATGATTGCTTCCGGATGATAGAGAGGAAGCAGCCCTAGGTTTGTTTGGAGTCAGAGGACCTGGGTTCATAAGTGAACTCTACCACCTACCTACCTGTGACCCTGGGCAAGTCGCCTCTTTGGGCCTCAGTCTCTTCATCTGTAAAAACAAAGGATTGGATTTAGAAGACTTCTAAGGGTCCTTCCGGCACTAAATCCAGAGACAAGGATTGGGGTCCCAGTTCTGCCCACAGTGAATTGTGTAATAGGGGCAAATTACTTAATCCTTCTAGAGCCACAGTCTCCTGCTTCTACCCACATCACAGATTTGTTGTGAGGAAAGCACTATGAAAAATGTGGCTTATTTTATGAGGATGATAATGTGAAGAAAGCTATAACCCAGATCATATACTTGAAATAAATCCATAATTCTTGTCAAGTATATGGTAGTCCACCCACTGATCTTTCAAAACTGCTTAGGGATAGTGTCAAGAACTGCTGTAGCCAAATTTCTGTTAATAAACTTGAATGAATGAATGAATAAAAAGTATTTATTAAGGATTTACTATGTACCAGGCATTGGCATTCAGTCTGTTAGCTGCCCTCCTAATTTTGTGTCAGGGGTATAATGATAAATTGCCACTTTTGCTTTCATCTAATGCATTGATGTTCATGTTAAATAGAACAGACCTATAAGCATGAATATCTGTGGGTAGTACAGAGAGCAGTGATCAAGATTGAACTTGGAAGAAGTTATATTAGCTTCAGATGTAAACAATAAGTGAAACAGGAAGAAGGAAGCCAAGGAAACAAATCAGGCTTTATTGGGGAAGGCCACTCCATAAACCCTTTAATTTTCAATCCCAAAGCTCTCTTCCTTAAAGCTCTGATGGCCTTAGAAAAACAGGGACAACCACCTACTGGTCCTTCTTGTCTCAGCCTTATACTTAAGGATGTATTTAGAATTCTGGGGCTGGTAATTGACCATTCATTAGGGGCACACACACAACCAATTTCTGTATAGTTACTTGTGTCCACAAGCTGTTTTGGTCAATTCAATTCAAAAGTATTGTTCTGAGTCTACATAGACTGTTTTAAGCAGCTGTGAGGGATATAAGAAGTATGTGGCTGAGATCCCTATCTTAAAACAACACACCCTCTGGTGGGGATCTATCTAAATACATTAAACTATTAGAGGGCAAAAGAGCCAATCAATATTCTGTAGGTATCCATATGGAAAACAATCAATTGTCCAAATGTCCTAAGGGATAGAAAACAGAAGTTGATGTTGGAGAAGGCTTTCTAATGGAGACATTAATTGGAAGGGTCATAAATGAATTAATATGGGTAGAATCTGGATTGGAAGAAAGGAGGAAAGATATTTCAAAGCCAGGAAAGCAGAACAATCATGGACACAGAGGAGGGAGTAATTGTGGTGAGTTTTGTTTTGTTTCGTTTTGTTTTGTTTAAGGTGATAACTCAACTAAGAGTTGTTGTTCAGTTGAGTCAGACTCTTTGTGACCCCATTTGGGGTTTTCTTGGCAAAGATACTGGAGTGATTTGCCATTTCCTTCTCCAGCTCATTTTACAGATGAGGAAACTGAGGTAAACAGAGCTAAGTGACTTGCCCAGGGTCACACAGCTAGTAAGCGTGTGAGGCTGGATTTGAACTCAGGTCTTCCTGACCCCAGGCCTAGTTCTCTATCCATTGTACCAATTAACTGCTAAGAGTAAAGATGACATATTGGTGAGTAGTGGGTTATAATGTTGAATAGGGTCTCAGGAATGTCCAGAAGATTTCATACTTTTTGTTAGGGCTCAAAGAAGGCTTAGTAACGTGGGAAGCAAACCCCAAAATTCTGGAGAAGGGTCCTCTAGGCCACTGTCACATAGAGAGCTTCTAAAGATCATTGGGGACATAAGGTCCAGGGATGGGTCCTTCACACCAGTCTTAGATCTCCCATCAGTGTTGTGGGCCTCATAAGGGCCTTGCATTTGATACCTCAGAATTAGATGATTCCTAACGTCCTTTGCAATTCTCATCTTGTGGACTTTTAATCACTCTGGTAATATATTCTTCCTGGACTTAGATGTCCAAGCTTCAAATGGTGTCTCTATCTAATTATCCAACATCATGAATTCACCTTTCTTATTGTTATTTTGGTACCTTCAGCCCCCTACTCTCAGCTCCCCCAACAGTTAAGGGCCAGGCTGGTTTTGTGATGCAGGGGGTTCAAAAATGAAAGAGTTGTTAAGACAATCTACATGCCAATTTACTTTTTGCCCTGTGCTTTTCATTCATGACTTCCTTGAAATATAGCTCTGAAAAAAAAACAGGCTTTTAAAAAAATAATTTTTTAAAGAAGTCTAATGATTCTCTGGACCAGTCCATTGTGTTTCAAATAAAGCTAACCTTTGACTAGCCTTTAAACCCAGACCTCTCACGCTTTCATTGAATAGCCAATAACAGCCCCCTGCCCAAGCCTCTATGGCTCATTCTTTAGATTTTGATGGCTTTAGAATGACTGTAAATAGAAACTGTTTTCTGTTCTCGCCAGAAATTTTGAGAATCTTCCCCTCCCAGACTGATATTTTTGTGAAGACAATTAGGTCATCTTTTCCCTCAATTCTTACCTAGTCCTTAGTCATTGAATGGGTGTTGCCTCAAACTGAGGCCTGGGAAAGACCTTAATTTAGAAAAGCCAAGGTCATCCACAAAACCTGGGTCATAACCAGTCATCTTGACTTTTTCCTGCCATTGGACTTCAATAACTCTGGAGGACAAAGTGAGGCTGACCACTTTGTGCAGCTCTGCCTCACTTAAATCCAATTCAAGAAAGAGATCACTCTCATGATGATATAATTAGTCTTCTTCAAAAATAAAGGATCAAGGGGACAGAGCTAAGATGGCGGAATAAAAGCAGTGACTTTCTTGAGCTCTCCCCCAAACCCTCCAAATACCTATAAAAAACAGCTCTAAACAAATTCTGAAGCAGCAGAATCCACAAAAAGACAGAGTGAAACAAATTTCCAGCCCAAGACAATCTGGATGGTTGATGGGAAAGGTATATCGCACCAGGCTGGTAGAGAAGCATACTTTGGTGTGGATGCGCAGGCAAGGCAGGCCTCAGAGAACTGAATTGTGGGCAGCTGTGGTGGTTTCCAGAACTCTCAACTCATAATGCCAAAGACAACTTAAAAGGTCAGTGGGAAAAGTCTGTTTCTGCAGTGAGAGAGAAGTATGGTGGTCTCAGTTCTAGTCCCAGAGCCTGGCCCCGGGATGGCGGCTGCTTCCTGAGCTTCCAGCCCACAGACTGAGGGGGAGTTGAATGGCTGATCAGAGGGGGATTGCAGAGATCTCTCTGCTGGTGCAGAGTTCTCTTGCTTTGCCCATACTTGGATCTGGGTCACAGTTCTAGGCAGCAGTCCTGGGGCAAGGAGGAGCACTGTTCTGATGGAGCTTGTAGTGGCAGTAGAAAGAAAATCCTCCTCGTAGTTCCAAGACAGAAAAGAGTGCTTGTGGTCACTCATAGACCAGAGCACTTGACCATAGCACCTTGGAAGAATTGAAAATTTACAGATCCCTAGAAGTATCTCTGAAAATAGCTGCACAAAACCCCTGAAGCTTGGGACAACACATTCTCCACACTGGAAACAGACCCCTACCTTAACAAAGAGTTTATAATTCAAGTAATTGGCTGAGATAATGAGTGCAAAAAGAGTCAGACTACAGAATCTTACTTTGGTGACAAAGAAGATCAAAACATACAACCAGAAGAAGACAACAAAGTCAAAGCTCCTACATCTAAAGCCTCCAAGAAAAAATATGAATTGGTCCCAGGCCATGGAAGAGCTCAAAAAGGATTTTGAGAAGCAAGTAAGAGAAGTAGAGGAAAAACTGAGAGTGATGTAAGAAAATCATGAAAAACAAGTCAACAGCTTGTTAAAGGAGACCCAAAATAAAACTGAAGAAAATAACACCTTAGAAAATAGCCTAACCCAGGGGGCAGCTAGGTGGCTTAGTGGACAGAGCATGGCCCTGGATTTAGGAGGACCTGAGTTCAAATCCGGACTCAGACATATAACATTTACTAGCTGTGTGACCTTGGGCAAGTCACTTAATCCCATTGCCTAGCCCAAAAAAAAAAAGAAAAAGAAAATAGCCTAACCCAAATGGCAAAAGAGGTCCAAAAAGCCAATGAGGAGAAGAATGTCTTAAAAAGCAAAATTGGCCAAATGGAAAAGGAAGTCCAAAAGCTTACTGAAGAAAACACTTCCTTAAAAATTGGAATGGGGCAATTGAAAACTAATGACTTTAAGAGAAATCATGACACTGTAAAACAAATACAAAAGAATGAAAAAATAGAAAACAATGTGAAATATCTCATTGGAAAAACAACTGACCTGGAAAATAGATCCAGAAGAGAGAATTTAAAAATTATTGGACTATCTGAAAGCCATGATCAAAAAAAGAGTCCAGACATCATCTTTCAAGAAATTATCAAGGAAAACTGCCCTGATATTTTAGAACCAGAGGGCAAAATAAAAATTGAAAGAATCTACTGATCACCTCCTGAAAAAGATC